TGGGATAACCACAACAGGTTTGCAGAATGTTTATAAACATACATATCATATATAACAATATATATTTATTATTTATGATAATATACCTTTCAAGAATATGTTTCCAAATCTTCATTGCTTAAAACATTTCATTGCCTTGATGTCTAATTTTATCCCATTTAAATATTGAAATATATATATTTCAAAATTCTAATTTCTTCAAAATCCTTCCAAAACCTTCACATTTGTGGTGATCCTTTATGGTATATCTTTATATAAAACAAAAAACCTTTGATTTCATCTTCTTTATGATGACATAATTTAACCACTTGGGTAACCTGCGGAACCAGTTGATTGTTTAGCAATGGATACATTCCATCACGAAAATATAGACAGCTTAAAGTATTCTTTAATCATTAAACATTTTTGTAACCCTTTGTTATTTTTTTGTAATTTTTCATTTTGTTATGTATTTTATGAAAATAATATATTTTTATGATTTTAGTTTGATTGATTTTTTTTGTATCCTTTTTAAACTGTTGTTCAAATTTAGCATTATTCTGAAATGCTTTGCAATTTTTTAAAAAAAACAAAATAATCCTATTAAATGAGAAATAGAGTTACATATCTGTACAGCTAAATATCAATGGCATTTACTTGGATTTATGACAATGAATGTGGATAAAATACACATATTTCATATTTAAAAACGTCAAAGCTTGACGATTTCACTCCCTGGAATATTAAAGTGCATCTTCCAAATAGTTTCTTATGAAATATTCATTTATTTCTCATTAATACTTAATAATCAAGGGATTTTTTTTCTACTAGTTCTTTACATCTGGGAGAAAATTTAGCAAATTGTAGAATTTGCTATTTTACCAGAAAATTGCATTTTGTTTCCCATAAATGTGTAACATGTTTTTAAATCTAATGTGCTGTTATGTTGTGAGATTTAAAAAATATAGCAAAATGTAGCTTACTATACTGCATAGCAAAATTATGTGATTGAAGAAAAGAAAAAATTGATGTAAATTCTAGTATAAAAATGTGATTTTATTTTTCAGGGTTTTAGAAAGAAAGCCTAAAACCAACGAGACCATTGAGCTGACAGAGGATGGCAAACCAAAGGAAGTGCACCTAAAAAAGCCACCTGTATGTGACTGCACCTGTTTTGGGCTACCACGGAGGTATATTATAGCCATCATGAGTGGGCTGGGGTTTTGCATCTCTTTTGGGATTCGCTGTAATCTGGGCGTGGCCATAGTGGATATGGTAAATAACAGCACCATTCATCAAGGAGGAAAAATTATCAAAGAGGTGAGCAAGTCTTAAACTTTTCCCTCCCCCCATTTTTTTTTCTCCTCCCTCTGACAGTTTTACCCCCATGAATATATTCTTCACCACCTGTAACCCACCTGTAACCCTTTGCTGTCAAATTGGTTTTCTAAAAATTAAATCAAAATGCTTATGTGCTAATACACTTTAAAAAAAAAAATATTCCAAGTTAATTAAGCACAATTTTTTTTATCAATAACACCAGCATTGAATACTGCTATATCAGTCATCTATTACAAACTTAAAATACATTGCGTTACAATTGTTTTAATTATTTGATATTTCTATATATAGTTGGTAACATGCATTAATATGTATTGTTTTTTTTTGTATTTTAGTAATTTTCTACAGGCTTTTGAAAAAAAAATATTTCATTAATTCTATTTTTGTTCCATTGCTCAGAAAGCTAAATTTAATTGGGATCCTGAGACTGTTGGAATGATTCACGGCTCGTTCTTTTGGGGTTACATAGTAACGCAAATCCCAGGAGGATATATCGCTTCAAGATTAGCTGCTAACAGGTACAAGTCATTCAGACGGCCATCATCAATAATTCATTCATTCTTGGCTATGTTTCTTAATTTCTACCAATTATATTGATAACATTTACTATGTTCATATTGTTCAGTTCTGGCTATTAATGATGACAGGAACCACAAAACCATTCTTAAAAATGTCTTAAGACCTCGTTGTTTATTGTATCATTTTTCTTTGTATTTTTTAAATGTTTCTATTTCATCCATAATTTCTTTAATTACATTATTTAATTTTTTTTTTTTCCTTTTAAATATAAAACATCTCCCGTTATAATGAGCTCAGAATACGGAAAATGCCACAGATGGTGCAGAGCCGACCTTTGGTTTCTATGGCGTTTGGCAATATTTCAAGTACCAGGGGTGTGATTCCACCTGTTAATTAGATCTTCTGAGGATTGAGGATGCCTCCTGCCCCCTGATCCCTCTGTAATAACATCGACTTCCTATTGCCGGGAATCAGGGAAAGGAAGGGATTTGTAAGGGATGACACTTTGTACATCAGGAAGTGTCAATCAGAGACACAGATAATATAGAACGGATCTCTGCAAATAAACGGATCAAGGCAAAGCGATATATCACTCCCGTGTTTAATTATGGAACAAAGCCCCCCCGAATATATCACAGATTGATCTGATATGTCTGCCATGGCTCCCGGCGCTCAGGGGGTTAACTAATATGTGGTTGTAGTTGGATTTGCATGTTATAAATAATTCATGAATGCTGTAATAAAAAAAGAGAGAGAGCGGGGGGAGAACACAGAGAGTGGTGCTGAGTGAATCACCGTGACGGTACCAGCCGATGTCCTGGTGATATCTGTCCCTAATTGGTGACTCACTGTGACCTCTTCTCCCAAAATTCAATCAAACCGAATCTCAGTTCTGCTCATCGATGACGGAACTTCTAGTGTCATTCTGTGTTACCAATCAGCGACTAAATAATTGGGTCAGCGCTATTTATAATGTAAGACTTCTTTCTTTCTTTCTTTCTTTCTTTCTTTCTTTCTTTCTTTCTTTCTTTCTTTCTTTCTTTCTTTCTTTCTTTCACCTCCCTCCCTTCTCTGCTTCCTTCCTCCCTTCCCTCTTTTTTCTTCCTCCCTTCTTTCTTTCTTTCTTTCTTTCTTTCTTTCTTCCTCCTTCCGTCCCTCTCTTTCCTTTCTTCGTTTCCTTTTTTTCTTCCTTCCTCCTTCCATCCATCCTTCCCTCCCTCCCTTCTTTCCTTCCTTCCCTCTTTTTTTATTCCTTCCTTCCCTCCATCTCTTTCCTCCATCTCTTTCCTTCATTCTTTCCTTCCTTCCTCTCTTTCTTTCTTTCTTTCTTTCTTTCTTTCTTTCTTTCTTTCTTTCTTTCTTTCTTTCTTTCTTTCTTTCTTTCCCAATCCCTGAAGATTATTATTTTTAAGTATTATTAGTACGGCGTTTATAACATTAGGCGCTGTTTTTGTTTTCCCTTTATCCCCCTTTCAGTCATGTTAGTATTATTTTCTGGGTGATATATAAGAAGTCCAGTATCTGGCAGCTTTGATGGGGCTCATGGAACACACACGGGCCAATCTGATCATTTTCTCTTCTCTGAATAATATTAATGGGACAGTTTCTGGAGCGATAGATTTTTATATTGATGATGGAACTGAGAGTCACACTACAGACTTGTGAGGTTTTGTTGTTCCATCATATCTTCTACTGCAATCTACACAATTATCACAATGAATTCTCGTATCTTTGTCATCTCCATGGACAACGGTGTAGTCTATGGCTGGGATTGTAAATTGCGAGTGAGAACAAACCATCATCCCAAATTGACACAGATGCTTGCTTGCCAGGCTTGGCTCTGCACCAGTTCTGTTCTGACTGAGACGCGTTTCATTCCAGACATGTTTGGTCTGTAGGTTGCAGATTGCCACCTCTGAATGCTGCGTCGGTTGTTGGCGGTGAATACACTAATGGGACGATGTTTGAACGCGGAGGATAAAATATTTTCGCTGTTGGCAGATGGTGACGAGATCTCAGAAATATTTAACTGAATCTGCAAATGTCCTTTAAATGACCTTCAGTTTTTTTACGTTGCGCCATGGGGTATTCCCAAGGCAAGGCGGGTGTAGGTGGGTCGGGGGGTGTTTGATGGTGGTATCTTCCTTCTGGGTTAGTTTATCTCAGCAGCTTATGCAAATAGATATTATCATGTATTTCCTTAAAGCAAACCTGTCGATTTATTTATAATGGGTGCTGCCAGTGATGAATTTCCAAAAATAATTTGGCAATGGCATCCCCAATATTTGTATCCTATGAGGTCACTAACAGTGATATTTCTCTTATAAATGGAGCCTGGCACCTTGAAGCTTTGGGTGTCACCGTCCATCTTGCAATGTTCTTTAAATGACAGTAGATGATGGCAAGGAGTACTGAGGCTCCGAACAGCTGCAATAGAACAGCATGGCCTAAGAAAAGATGGCTGCCCGAGAGGGTTACTGCAAGAGCGATGGCTGCTGACAATTGAAGTGGGGACTCTTGGTGGTTGATCATTATTCCACCCAGCACTGTCCAATGGGAAGGGTAGGGTAGTCCTCAACTTGTGTGAGCTCAGTTGACCACAAGCTGAGGACTCTTGGTGGTTGACCATCCTATCCCCTTACACTGTTCAATGAGAAGGGTGTGGGGGGGGGGTCCTCAACTTGTGTGAGCTCAGTTGACCACAAGCTGAGGACTCTTGGTGGTTGACCATCCTATCCCCTTACACTGTTCAATGAGAAGGGTGTGGGGGGGGGGTCCTCAACTTGTGTGAGCTCAGTTGACCACAAGCTGAGGACTCTTGGTGGTTGACCATCCTATCCCCTTACACTGTTCAATGAGAAGGGTGTGGGGGGGGGGTCCTCAACTTGTGTGAGCTCAGTTGACCACAAGCTGAGGACTCTTGGTGGTTGACCATCCTATCCCCTTACACTGTTCAATGAGAAGGGTGTGGGGGGGGGGTCCTCAACTTGTGTGAGCTCAGTTGACCACAAGCTGAGGACTCTTGGTGGTTGACCATCCTATCCCCTTACACTGTTCAATGAGAAGGGTGTGGGGGGGGGGTCCTCAACTTGTGTGAGCTCAGTTGACCACAAGCTGAGGACTCGTAGTGGTTGACCATCCTATCCCCCAGCACTGTACAATGGCAAGGGTGGGGGGATTCCTCAGCTTGTGTGAGCTCCAAGTCAGCCTTTATTTTCCTTGGGTTGTTCATGGAAGATTGATGCAGCTGAAAATTTTAATTTTACAATCCCCCACAGTTGTGCTCCTGCCAATATTACAACAACTGAGACACGGAATTAAGCAGCGGTAATAAATTTAATTACAGGGGGCACAGATGTACCAGGAGCACACCTGCTACCGCCTCCAAGACCCCATGCAGCAGAATATTCATTGGTGATGTGTCGGGGGATGGACCAGCTGA